TAAAATATCAATGACCTTTAAATAAATTCATTTCGATGTCATTAGTAAATATAGCAATAGCAAACATTAGACCAGTGTTTACAAGATCAAATTTGCTTTTCAAAATATAATTCATTTACGGCGTACAAAATAAGAGTCTAGTAAATAAGCATAAACTTTATTAAGGAGGGAAAACATAGCGTCATTTGTGGACTTGTTGCTTAGAAATCCAAATTGATATTCAGTAAGTATTTTGTACTTAAACAGAAAAGATACCAGCCTTCTTTTAACCAACCTTTCTATGATCTTAGATAGCGTTGGAAGGAGTGCAATTGGGCGATAGTTAGAAGCTTCATCTTTGTCTCCTCCTTTATGCAGAGGAATGATTATTGCCATCTTAAGACATTTTGGAAAAATACCATTTTGGAACGACATGTTTATTAAAGTCGTTAGGTGATTCAGAGTGCTTTCTGGCAGATTCGAAAACATTTTTAAAGTTAGCCCGTCGCCGTCGGTCCCAGAAGAGGATTTATTTTTGATGGTATTAATTGTACTGCGAAGCTTTTCTAAAACTACGGGCGAAAAAAAGAAACTGTGTAAGTTTACAATATCATTAGAGAGATAAGAAAGTGGATCATGAGGAGGACATATGGTATTAGTTAAGTTTTTCGCTATATTTACAAAGTAATCGTTAAGGTTCTCAGGTGAGGTAGAGATATTGCTAGACGAAGAAAAGCTTTGTTTCTCAACTCATTCACAATAGACCATGTTTCTTTAGCAACATTACCAGAATTGACTATTCTCCTATTATAATAAAGGTCCTTAGCGGCTCTTATAGTCTTATGATAAATTTTTCTGTATAGTTTTAGGTAATTGTGGAAGAAGAGACTGTCTGAGAATTTTTTTAAGTGAGAAAATGAACGCATGTTTTTAGAAGATATGCGTAGACCTTTAGTGGTCCAAGGTTTATTATGCTTATTTTTTGTAGGCCTAAGAGGAAAGGATTTGAACGCTAGACTGGTTAATGTTTTTACGAAAATAGAAAATTCGGGTCGACACCGAATCATATCCGATCATAAGAGCTAGTATCCCAGTTGGTTGTTTTACATAAGTGGCTGAACTTTTGAGCATTCTTTTCTGAAAAAATACGGCATAATTTACGATGGGCATTTTTGATTTTGGACTTCATCGAAAATTCAGTTAAAACTGCTTCATGATCAGAGAGACCCGAGCTAAAGACGTTGCAGGCGATGGAGTTAGGATCAAAAGATGACACAACATAGTCTATAGTACTAGAACTGGTATTGAATATTCTGGTAGGTGAGCCTACATGCATGGCTATTCCAAAAGAATCAAAAATGGACTGAAAAACTCCTGAGCAGTACATACACTAAGAAAGTCAATATTAAGATCACCACACAAAATTAATTTTCTTTTTAAGGGCAGGGACTCAAGCAAGCTTAGTAGATTATGACAGAATAATTGCACGTCAGAGTCAGGTGTTCTATAAATACAAATAATGTAAAGGTCGTAAGCATTATGGTGGACAATGGAAAATTCGAATACTTTTTCAGATAACAAGGCATTGTACCTAGTTACCTCGGAAAAGTCGTTGTTTAAAGACATTATCATAGTACCTCCATGAGAAAAATTTGTTCTATTAAATCTGGCCACTGTGGTATAATTTTTAACAAACACAGGCTCATCAAAATTTAACCAGTGCTCCGTTATGGCAATGATATCTGGAAATTCAAGCTCTTCTAGTAAAAGATATAATTCATCTGTTTTATGTCTTAAGGACTGAATATTAATAAGGAATAGACCAAGCTTGCTATCGCTTAATTTTTCAGAGGGTGCTTGATCCTCTGTTCGCGTCAATTCAACTAAAAATTTTTACTCTTATTTGGGGAGCCACTGGAATAATATTTGCCATGACTTTCCCTAATCTTTTGAAGTCGTAGAAGGCTCTCCGCAGAAAAGAATGACCTGAAAGCTGAAAGATCTGCATCAACTTCAGTTGAACCAATACCATAGGCGTTGTGGAAGCGGTAGTACAACTTACGCAAGGACTCCAGGTCACTAGGTAGCCCTTCTGATGCAAGCATCAATTTGATGCTGGTACTAGTGTGTCCTTCAAAACACACACTGGATGGTTGGTCGTGAAGATAGGCAAGGAATAGCCTAAGAGATTTCAAAATGGAGGGGTCCCTCAACCTGGCCAACACGTAACGTCCATTTACCGCATCTGAGTCCTGAGACAGCCGTACTATAGGTGGGGTCATCGGGTCCATAACTGCCAAACCATCTCTCTTCGCACTTCCCTGCACAATAATTTCTGGATTTTCCATCGCCAGGGACTTGCAAGCAGCTATAGCCTCCCTGTCAGACCCAATCTTAATAGTTCTTACCTCCCTTGGCATAGTTGCCAGTGGTGGGTCAAGTAGGTGAGGTAGCTTGCGGTTCTCAATGATGTTTATTTTGAGATTTTGAGCAGGTTCAACCGAAGAAGTAAACGAAGCTTGGCTTAAGGATGTTGAGGTTGAATCTATTATGGTTCCCGGCGGCCACATATTTATGTCCTTAAGCTGCACCAAGTGACACCTCTTTTGCACTCCAATTTTGAAATCGGAATGGGAACTGTCCTTATTTTTCAGCATTGGAAAGCATCTGATGAAATCGGTGGTTCCTAGTTTTTCTTTAACATAGTGCGCAAGTTGATTCGCTGTGTAAGGAGGTGGAATTCTGGACACCACCACATAATTCCAGTCTTCTCTTATGGCGGCCTTAGGAGGTTGCGATGACACTATTTCGGGTGAAACTATTTTTTTTGGCAAATTTATAAAAGCTGTACTATTTTGGTGATCTATAGGGCCCGTCTGCGTTGAAATGGATTTTTTCCGCTGCATATTATGATTTGTACAGGTCTTATCCCTTGTAACAAGCTTTTCCAATGTGAGCGACATTTGTTTAACGCTCTGCCTAAGGTCAGCCATTTCCTTCGCCATTTCTTCCCCAGATGGGTCATGAACTTGGACTTTAGCAGACCCATCATGGTTGTCCATTAAAATTGATGATAAATTGAAGGTGTCCTGCTTTATCTCATTTATTGACTTAAATAAGGATTCTTGTGTGGTATCTGATATCCTGGATATGTCGTCAATTTTCTTGAGTAAAATTTTCCACTTGGAATCGTGATCACTCAGCATGTCATACATTTCAGTTATGACAGGAAAAATGTCCATATTTTTTTTAAACAGAATCCTAGTGCTTCGATGATTTCTGGTTGGACCTTGCATTCTTGAAGCTGTGTAATTCTATCATGAACATATTTTAATGTAGGGGAATCGCAGACAGTGCAGAAAAATCTAACATTGTGGTACTTTTGTTGACACAGCACCTTTGTTGTTGCCTTATCCAGTCCTGTACAGGTCATACAAAAACTTCTTCGACACTCTCCACTACAGCGAACCTTATAACTGTCCTTTTGGATTTTTTGACAAGAATCCCACTTAAATTCAGCCATAATAATGTAAATGATTAATAATATTAATAAAAGTCGATGACAGCTGAATAAAATTCGGAAGTATAAACAAGCTAAAACTCACGCACAGCGGAAACAAGTACGCCGAAAAATTTTCAATTAAGGTTGCAAAAAACTAACACAAGTAAACAATGTCAAGTTTAAACGAACAGTGAACTTTGAGTTGATTTCGGGTCAGGAACAAAAACAAATCAAAAACAAGTCAAATCAAAACAAACGTTCAATAACCGGTAGACAAAACGCACGAACGGTAACACAACCTTATCGTACGACTGCTAAACTGTTACTGAAAATCTGTAATATAATAATGTTAAATCTGTAATATGAAATTTATTGTTTTTCTCGCTGTTTGTTAACACAGGCCTATATTAATTTAAAAAGCTTGTAAAAACATATTATTTTTTTTATGAATATTCAATATATTATATATGTGAAATGACGATCGATGACATTTCCCATATAATTTTACATATAAAATGACAGCAATCTTCATTCCATAGCCATCGCTGACGCCGTTTTTAATACGGTATAAATAGGGTGAGTCTTAAAAAAGTGCAAATATTTTCAGGGCTGGTAGATATCGATAAAAGAAACATATTTTCTCATTACCGTTTATCAAGTAAGTCCAAAATAACCTAGATATCTTACATTAAAAATTTAAAAAACAATGATTTTCGCTTATATTTTGAGAATCAGTAGATCTTTTCTGGGTTTCCTTTCTTGTAAATTTAATCTACTACCTATGCTGTCATATTATGAAGATATGTATTATGTTTTCCAACTAAAAATAAAAAAAAATCCCAACATTTTTTAAAAAAAACTCCAAATTTTCAGATAGGCGTGTTTCTGGGGTCGAAATATACTACCTCTAAGAATATTTGCACTTATTTAAGACTCACCCTGTATATACATGTATCCTACATATATTATAATTCTATAATATAATCGATTTGCCATTGAGAAATATATCTCAGGGTGTTATATTTCAACTATGACTAAAACGTCCATTTTCAAAAATAATATTTATGTTTTAACACAAAATAAAGGAATATTTTGTTACATCCTAACATCTTAATCTAAAAGTAATGACATAAAATACAATATGAAAATAAAACCCATACTCAGTGAGTATTTTATTCCTTTAAAGGAAATGTAACGTCGTTGTTACGTTCTTGTGACGTAACGGTTACGTTACGTTCTGAAAGACGTCTGAGTAACGTCACCTAGAACACATTTCCCTTGAAGGAATAACATGCTCACTGGATACTCTATTTCATTCATTGGGAATGTTCAAAAAACTGAATTACTTATTTGGGTGTATTTATTAAATTGTTAAAATTAATTGCCATACAATAGATTGCAGAACGAATAGGTATTGTCGGCAATAAAGTGACTCGTGGTAGTACCAAAGAATATTATAGTTAACACGTACTGTCAGTGGTAAAGAAGGTTACGAGTGATATAAGCTAAAGGAACTTACGATTCTGCAATTTTCATAGCAGCTTCCAAAGCAGCATATCCATACCTCGCCAGCAATACAGCCTTTTTGTTTCTTGGTGCACCAAAATGAGCAACTCTTACTGCTGGATGGTCTTCCTTCAAATAGAGACCTTAAAAAGAATATTAAATTGGTAATCTAATTTTTTTAATAACTCTTTTTTAATGTTACCTTGTTTAAACCAAGTGGGTTCTTTGACCTTTACCAAATTTTCTAGGGACTTTATTCCAAAGCTTATAGCATTATTTGTTCTTTTTTTGCTTTCTGCTTTGGCTTTCGGGTCATTATTCAATGTCCTTTCGATGGTTTGCGTTAATGTATCCCCTAATTTCTTCCCATATTCAAATAATAGTTCTGTCTGAGCATCCAAATCGTCTGGTTGGATTTTCTGGATTTCGTTTTCAAAGCTAGGTTTACTATTACTCTGGATTGTTTTTTGTGCATTCTCCGTTGTTATTAGTATTTTTGTCGAAGGTATTATAGTTGGCCATGTTAGAAAGACAATAACTAACCATAATGGGGATATGTCCTGTCTGAAACAAAAACAATAATCACTTAGATATATTTTTTAATTTTATTTTTTAGAAAATTTGCAATATTTTTCATATTCTTTTGCAGAATATTATTTTTTTTTCAAGTGCAGTTATTCAAAATATTGGTTGTTATAAATAAAGGTCGTTGACGTCGCATTTCGAATAACGATCGAAGTTAAAATATTTCAATAAAAGATATAACAATTTGAAAATAATTTTATTTAAATTAAACATTTTTTAAGCAAAGTAATTGTAATAAAAGGTAACAAAAATATTCCCTTTATGGAAAGGCCCCTATATTCACATACCGATATAAAAAAATATCAAGTATACGTAATACTTTTCTTGTAATCAATATATTTATTACAACACAGCTGACAGATACACACATCAACAATTTTTATCTCTTCCTTATAGCTTTAGGAAGAATCTTTTACGTAATATTAGAACCTTATAAGGAGTGAAGACTACTTCCCTAATTTTATCGGGTAGTACGTACCTAATCAAATATTATTCATTTGGGTTTTCAGGAACACAACAAAAATGGTACCAGATCATTGTATCTTAATACCTTCTTGTTAAAAATACAAGAAATATATTATGTTTGCTGAACAGATGTTCATGCGAAAGGAAATGGCAAGTTAATTACAATTTTCAAGTTAATTATTCCAAAAAATATGTTTTTGCGAGTTGAAAAATTATAGATATATTATGCAACTTTTATTTGTCAAGCTCGATACTAAGTCCTATAGGCTTGGTGTATTTCAGTTGATTTCAAGAAATTCCGACCGCAGCGCTTCAACGGCAGAAATCAGAAATTATTAGTATGTATTTCACTCCGTCGCGCCGCGCCGCGCCATCCCGGTTTCAGTTCATGTTGATCGCATTAAAATAATATTGAAATCGTGGCTTTGTCATAATATTTAAGTATATATTTTAGTTTTTTGCTAGTGCAGTTACTGAGACTATAAAACACTCAAATACGAGGTTTGTGTGATGTAACGCCTGTTTCAGGTAGTAAAAAATACGTGAAAATGAATTTGAACACGGCGTCGTGTTGTGTTTTGTCAATTTCAGATATTAATAAAATTGCCAAAATGTGAACGCGTTAAAGGAAGGCGTAATTAAGGCGTTGTTGGGTGCAATAAAATTCAATAACTCAACTTTCCCGGATATTCAACACTCCCGAAACAACATTTTTATAGCTTCATAGTTTTTTACACCGATTTGATCAAAGACAAAAATGGATTTAAGTTCGACGAAACAGGTGAGTAAACAAAGGGCTCGTTTATGCGGTTGGTAAGTAACATAATCAAAAGCACACGTTTTGTGTGCTCGTTACATAATAAAAAAAATAGGCATATACTATGAGAGGATAAAATATAATTTGAGATATTAATTGTATACTCTTCTTTTAGTCTACTAGTGATTAATATTAATAGTAATGTTAGATTAAATGTTTTATGAACATCTTTTAAAATTATAATACGTAGTTGAACTCATCTAAAAAGTTACACACACAGTTAGTTTTTTAGCAAGAATAATCAATTATAATACAAGTTAGACCTTCTGAAGATATCAAAATAAGTATTTTTTTATTTTTATTTTTAGAATTTTTGCAAATTATACTTCCTAACACTTTTAGAATAATTATATAATAAATTTTTCGTATACTCGCTATTTAAAACCGTGTATTTGTATACAGGGTGAGTTTCCTACGATGTTTTCTATGGGTATCTCGGAAACTACTGGAGATAGAGAGTTGGTTAAATGGGGAAAGAATTGCAGTTTTGTGGGGTCATAAATATGCGCCTTTCAGATTTTTGAAAAAGTTGACAAAAATTTTCAGATAAAAGTTGTAAATAATCACATCCCTAATGAGTTTGTGTTCTCCGATTTTTTCTAAAACCTGTCATTTTTGACATATGACACAAACATATGTTTTTTTTTAAATGGAAACCATAGTTGACTTCATAAAAAGCGCCATTTTTCAAACTTTTCAGCGATATAAGCTCTAATATGTTTTCTTCGAAAAATTACTGAGTTATAGCCAATTCTTATAATTTTTAAACAATTTCACTTAGTTAGCCATGGAAACAAGTCTAATCGTCTTTGCTTTCAGAAATGTGAAGTTGTCACATCCAAACTTTGTAAATTAAAATAAACAAAAATTGTAAATATGCATTTTTCAAATGAAGAAAAGCGAGTAGGATTATTGGTTCAACTTTTCTTGACATTTTAGAGGATACGTTGACCGGTTAATGTTACGTTTTTTAGAGAATGGTTTTCAAGACATGTTAGAAAAGTTAAATTTAGTTATAGCCAATTCGTATCTTTCTTGACTAATTTCACTTAGATTACATGGTATTCTTATTCTGTTATGATTTAAAACTTATAAAAAGTCAGAATATATTATTAAACGGTTCTTTACAATTTACATTACCTACAAATTAAAACTTAAAAAATAATATCACTACCTACATACATACACTTTAATTTATTTTAGAAAATATTCAAAAAATTCGCCATTGTTTTCAATTGCATCTTTTTAAAACTACCTATTTTCATAGAGGAATGAATTCCTACCTATTCTCATAGAAGGACCGGTCGACTTAATTAAACTTCTCACGTACCGCCATCGTCACTTCGAGTGCCTCTCTTAATTCATAAATTTTTTTGTAAACCTTATTGTTAACCATACGGCATAAAAAAAAGCTAAAATGGTGATAAAGGAGGCCCATGCAATTGGTCCACCTTTTCCTATCCCTGATTTTGCATAATTATTATATAAATAATTTTTAACATTTCCTGCATTATGGGGGGGGGGAGGTCATAATGAAAGTCATGTTGGAGCCACTCTATTGATGCGATTTACACGCTTTTCTTCGTTTGAAAAATTAATATTTTCAATTTTTATTTAATTTAATTTACAAAGTTTGGATGCGACAGCTTCATATTTCTGAGAGCAACGGCGATTGAGTTTGTTTCCATGGCTAACTAAGTAAAATTGTTTAAAAATGATAAGAATTGGCTAGAAACTCAGTAATTTTTCGAAAAAAACATATTATAGCTTATATCGCTGAAAAGCTTAAAAAATGGCGCTTTTTATGAAGTCATGACCTACTATGGTTTACATTTAAAAACAACATATTTGTGTCATATTTGTCAAAAATGACAGGTTTTAGAAAAAAACAGAGGACAGAATATCATTAAGGATGTGATTATCTACAACTTTTATCTGAAAACTTTTTTTCTAAAATAGCTTATAATGGAATTAGAGACAATTTTTAAAATAGCCGAAATTTGTTTTTTTCGAAATATCTAGTAAGCCATGAACTTTTTCAAAAATCTGAAAGGCGCATATTTATGACCTAACAAAATTGCAATTCCTTTCCCCTTTTAACCGACTCTCTATCTCCAGTAGTTTCCGAGATACCCATAGAGAACATCGTAGGAAACTCCCCTGTATATACTAGTTGTTTACGATATTCTCCGATGGTGGCAGGCAGTGGCGGCGAATACACCAAGTCTGTCCCACTATGCGCTGATGCATTGATTTGATTCGTCCATGCGTCCATGCATAGCGAATATGCTGCGGTTCGTCGATGCGATTCGTCAGTTGGTTAGAAAATTCATCCATTGTGTTTGTGATATTTCTTTTGAAAAAAATTTTGATGGTTTGTCCAAAAACAACACATCCCATCGACGCATTGGCGGATGAAATCGGCGAAACAAACCCCACCAGCCCATAGTGACTATGGGGCTTTACTAAACATATTAATAATATTTTTTTTTATCAACTCAAACATGAAAAGATCAAAACCAATGCCAAGCCATTAATCAAATTGAAAAAAAAATAACTGCCTTGTAAGTAAGTAATATCAAAGAAGCAAATAAACAAATCTAATTATAGTAGGTACTATAACATCAATGTTGAACATGATGTTAAAGTCATCACCCAAGTAGCATTTGGACGTTATCTAACGTCGCGTTCAATAAACCCGACGTCGGGTACCAACGTCGGTTCGACCGCCTGACGACCCTTATTTGCACCTAAATGGGGAATACAGATTCGGGTCGCCTCGACATCGGTATCTGACCTAATAGGGAATGTAATTCCACCAATTACCAACGTCATATTACGTTGGATTTTAGTCACTTATAATTCGTCGCTAAGCACTTACGTTACGTTTGGTTTCATATTCGCTACCAAGAATATATAAAAATCTAACCAAACTACCTAATTACAAATGGATTCATAATCATTCCTCTAATATAACTATAAGTGCCTATCTAATTTCATATTATAATAATTCTGAATCATTAATCCAGACATCAGTTTTGTCAACGGAAGTCACTTTTTTTATATATCTGATTAAAATACTCCGGAAAACAACGAGTGCCTTCAAAATTAGGTAGATTTATGAAATAAAAATATCTATAAAAAAGTTACTCGCAAAATATTTTTTTAATTTTCTAGCTGGATTAATCATAAAACTGTACTGTGGATCCCCACAAACTCAACCTTATCAATATTATTCTACTAGAAATCGAAAGGTGAATATAAATTTTAAAAACAAAAAACGATTTTAAAATGGCTGACAATCGGATACGTGTTAAGAATGGCGGATTTCTGTGTCCGACTTAATATGTACTACCAATATACCAATTCCGACCGGGTCTCCAACATTAGTCGTCTCACACGACCGAAGTCATCAAACCGGACGACCGGCAATCGTATTATGACGTATATAATTCCAACGTACGCCACGTAACCTCACTTTGCGTCTCAGTGATTTGTGGATTTGTGCAACTATATTTTAGTTTTTGTTTTCTCCTTAAAAAAATGGGCAGCCACTTTTTTAAGCCTAACCTCACATGTGGGAGGAGGATGGGGTTTGCTGGTTTTCTAAGCTAAAAAATGAAATTAAGATGCACCAGTGTAATGCAGCATCTCTTCCGGATAAAAATAATTTATGGGTGGAGGCAAGAGAGGCATC